TGAGAGTGAGTGAGTGAGAGAGTGAGTGAGAGTATGTGAGTGAGTGTGAGAGAGTGAGTGAGTGTGTGTGAGAGAGAGTGAGTCAGTGAATGAGAGTGAGTGAATTAGAGAGTGAGTGAGTCAGTGAATGCGAGTGAGTGAGTGAGAGTGAGTGAGAGAGTTAGTGAGTATGAGAGAGTGAGTGAGTGAGTGAGAGAGTAAGTGAGTCTCCTTTTAGCTTCCTAATGCAATTTTAATCCCTTTCTTTTTCTCGTTCTCCACTCTGGATTCCCCTTCCCCATTCTGCCCAGGGCTTTTGCTGGTTTGGCCTTTTTGTTTGCTGGTTTGAGTAGATTTGAAATGGGAAGGATGTTTGGAAGCTTTTTTAGTTTTGTCTCTCAAGCCAGTTATCTTTTATGCAAAATGCTACCTGTGCTACCTGAAACACATTCCCTGCTAAGTTAGAATTGATGCCTTTTCCTCTTTGTCATGTAGTACATTGACTTGCTGTTATGCCATGGACATCATTATGCCCTATATATGAGAGGTAGTACTGTACATACCTGGTCCTCTTTTCAACTATTAAAATTTTTTTGAGTTTTTACTATCCTCATTGTTTGCATTTCAACATTTAGTTTGTATCTTACTGAATCAAACATTTCCCCAAAATGACAATTTAAACTCAGCTCTCATATCTTTTATTAAGGACAACCTTTTCATTGTGGGACAGCTTCGACCATGGGATAACTCTTCATTTTGACCCATGATCTGCTTCTCTTTAACATAACTCTTGATTTTCTGTTAACTCCCTATTTTTTTTAATGTATCATTAGCTTTATTCTTAAGGGTTTTTTAAAATCGTTTTATTAGGGGCTCATACAACTCGTTACAATCCATACACACATCAATTGTGTAAAGCGCATTTGTACAGTCATTGCCCTCATCATTCTCAAAACATTTGCTTCCCACTTAAGCCCCCGGCATCTGCTCCTCATTTTTCCCCCTCCCTCCCTGTTCCCCTCTCCCTCATGAACCCTTGATAATTTATACATTATTAGTTTGTTGTATCTTGCCCTGTCCGACGTCTCCCTTCACCCACTTTTCTATTGTCCGTCCCCCGGGGAGGAGGTCACATGTAGATCCTTGTAATTGGTTTTCCCTTTTCAACCCACTCTCCCTCTACACTCCCAGTATCAGCACTCGCACCACTGGTCCTGAAGGGACCATCAGTCCTGGATTCCCTGTGTTTCCTGTTCCTATCTGTACCAGTGTACATCCTCTGGTCTGGCCAGACTTGCCAACGTATAATTCGGATCATGATGGGGGTGTTGGTGGGGGAAACATTTAGAAACCAGAGGAAAGTTGTATTTTTCATCGTTGCTACATCGTACCCTGACTGGCTCGTCTCCTCCCCGAGACCCCTCTGCAAGGGGATCTCCAGTGACCTACATATGGGCTTTGGGTCTCCACTCTGCACTCCCCCCTCATTCACTATGGTAAGATTTTTTGTTCTGATGATGGCTTATACCTGATCCCTTCAACACCTCGTGATCACAACAGGCTGGTGTGCTTCTTCCATGTGGGCTTTGTTGCTTCTGAGCTAGATGGGCGCTTATTTACCTTCAAGCATTTAAGACCCCAGACGCTATATCTTTTGATTCCTGGGCACCATCAGCTTTCTTCACCACATTTGCTTATTCACCCGCTTTGTCTTCAGTGGTTGTGTCGGAAAGGCGAGCATCATAGAATGTCAATTTAATAGAAGAAAGTATTCTTGCATTGAGGGAGTACATGAGTGGAGGCCCAATGTCCTTCTGCTACCTTAATACTAAACCTATAAATATATGCACATAGATCTATTTCCCCATACTCATATATAAATATATTTGCATATGTACATGTCTTTATCTAGACCTCTATAAATGCCCTTTGCCTTCCAGCTCTTTCCTCTATTTCCCTTGACTTTCCTCTTGTCCCACTCTCATGCTCAGTCCCCACCAGGGTTTCAGCAATTCCTCTTTGTTACATTACCCTTGATCATGCCCTACCAGGCCTCCCACACCCTCCTCACCACCAATTTGGATCACTTGTTCCCTTGTCCCTGGGTTTGTTAACACACTTCCTTTCCCCCCACTTCGTACCCTCCCTAACTATTATAAAGACCATTCATATTTCTTTTGTAGCTAGCCATCTTTAAGTACAATTGTCATATCTACTGGGTGCCACCAGGATTGATATGCTTGTCCCCTCAGTATCCTTTTACATGTATTTTCTTCATGTTTCCCACCTCTATTCATAACTGGTTTAGTAGATGCCAGATTCTGTGAGAGCCAGAACTGGGCATAATATGCTAGAAATGGTTTAACTAGACACACAACAGGATGGTGAATACTATTGATTTACATATGTCATGTGCTTTGTCTGCTAATGTTTTTCTTACTGTTGCTTCATATAGCAAATATGTTACATATAGATAACAAGCTGTCAGGCATAGTTTACTATTCCTCATTTTACTGGACAGAAAATTTTAACAACTATAATACTTGCAATGATCTGTATTAACTGATGTCAGCTCAGTAACCTATATGCCTAGGACTATGAGGCCCAGAAAAGGCTTTTACGAAAAGATTTTTCTCTTTAAACATCGTATTGTTGTAAAATGATGTATTTCTCTCTGTAGATGCTTGGAGAGTTCCATTAAAAGTGTCAACAGAGTTGTTGATGGTAAGTCAAGTTCAGAACCTTACTTTGGGTATTTTCAAAATGTAGTAGGAATGTTGTATTTTTCAGTGAAAATATTCTTAGAAGAATTTGTCAATATGATAACAAATGAAAGTTTTATCTTCTTTGTCATTAAATGTTCAGTATGCCCCGGCTTATTTTTCCCCTCTTAATTACTGACACAGTTGTCGTCGGTCATTCATTAATACACATGTGAAGAAGTGTTATTTGGGCAAAGCTGGATCAAGTATATTTTTTATATTCCCAGTCCGGTTTCCCTGTTCTTAGCAATTCAGTGCAGTAGAGGACTGGATTGCCTCACAAAAAGAGCAGAATAAAACCGTAAGACTACCTGGTTTGTTTCTTACCTTTTGCTTTTGTGTAGAATTAGCAAAGTAAGATTTTGGAGAGTAATTGCTAGGTGGCCCATTTCCCACTGTAGGTCACAGATTAGAACTAAAGGGTATTAGATCTAATTTAAGGAGGAGAACATGTTTTCCTAGTGCCACACATTGGTTGAAATATCTAATAAATTTCTCAGGGTAAGCTATTCAGAAAGTTTAAATGTTGCAAAATTATTAAATAAGGGTTATCTTTGATGAGAGGGGTTACTTGCATCTATAAAATACAATGAGTAGTGCATTGATTCCTTTTGATTCTTTTGCTTTGAATATCTTATGTCTACTGTTAATAGCCACCGTTGACTGAATGTCATTGTGAGAACAGTATTCTTAACCATTTCCGATAGTCACTCACTGCTATAGAGGCGATTCCTTCTGATACACCTGTGGGACACGGAGAACTGCCTCTGCATTCCTGAGACTTTACTGACTTACAAGCGCAGATAGCCTAGTGGTGGTAAAGCAGTGTAATATAGGTAAGGAGCCCCTGGTGGTGGTGTCGTGGTAAGCATTGGACTGCTAACTTCAGAGTTTGCCAGTTCTAATACACCAGCCACTCTGCAGCAGAAGGACGAAGCTGTCTGCTCTTGTAAAGATTTATAAAGGCTTAGGTGTTGCTATCAGTTGTAATCCAATCGATGCCCACCCCCAAAAAATTAAAATAAAAAACTCAACTGCTGTCGAGTCACTGCTAACTCATAAGGACCCCTGTGGGTTTCTGAAACTGTAACTGTTTGAAGGAGTAGAAAGCCCTGTCTTTCTCCTGAGGAGCTGCTGATGGTTTTGAACTGCCTACCTTGTAGCGTGCAGCCCAGCCCAGCATGGAGCCTTTACACTGTTAGGGCTCCTGGCCTGAGGCAGTGAGTGGAATGTAATTTAAAGGCTTAACGTTTGCATACATACTGTCATGTGAACTATTCTTTAATAATCGCTGTTCTTCTTTTATAAAGAGGTAATTTAGTATTTGTACTCACTTGAAACAACAGAATATTTTTATCAGGATAACCAAGTATTATGATTTCAATAAAACATGACCAGTTTTACACTTTAGTAAGAATAAATATTCTCCCAGTTTGTGTGAATGAGAGGAATTTCAGGGGCACTTCAAAGGGGGAAGTGGGAAAGTAGCCACCAGAGTATTTATTAAACTATATGGTTTATATTCTAAAATCAGGGGAGGGGCTGCAGGTTTTTGTTTATTTTGTGGTTCTGTACTAAAAAGTTGAGCATTTTAGAGAGTCAGAGTCAGATTTTCCTTTTCGTATACCCCACAGTTCTTTCTGTCATTGTACCACGACCTCATTGTGGTAGTCCAAATTTCTTTAAAAAGTAAAGGCTTTCTGGCACAACTGGAAAACAGGCTTGACTCATTCTTGTGATATGGGGAGCCCAACCCAGGTGAAATAGTTTAAAGAATTTTTTGGTAAAAATTAGGAGTAAGAAAAAAGCATAAACCTCTCAAGTTCTTCTAGAACTTTATTCTCTACGTCTGAAAGGGCTCGTCGATGTGTGAGTTTTATGCAGACATGCTGTGCTGGGTCACTGTGTTGACACAAGGCGGGCACTTTCTCAGGTGGGTTCCATACCTCTCGGACTCTGTAGTACATGGGGGCCTTTGAGTTAGAACCCACTCAGCACCCAACAGCAGCAGCTTGCTTGTATTTATTTTGGTCTAGATTTGGCAGCAATATTTGGAAAATAGAAATAATCATTAAGATAATTTAATAAGCTGAAGGGGTTTTAAATATTAAATTGCATACGAATGAAATGTCTTTTAAAAAGAAACCCTTGAGTAAAATTTGCAGAAGCGTGAACAAGATGGAGCAATACGCTGGAGCTGTGGACTGGACTGGCCCTCCAAAAGGGCGAGCCATCTCTCCTGCTGGCTGGCTCTTGCTGCCAGGCTTCCTGCTCGCAGGCCAGGCCCGCTAGCTGTTTCTGATGAACGTACGCAGTTCCTGGGAAACAGATAGTGGGTGTCAACGCCTGTTTTTCTCCTTAATAACATTATTGATAGGACTGTCATACAGTATCTTTCACATTGCCTCATGGGTGAAATGCCTATTTTAGGAATAATCTTTTTTAGAGGGACGTCACTACATTAAGGAGTGACAAGTTGGGACTGCTAACTGAAAGGTTAGCAGTTCAAAACCAAAGAAGAGGTGTTTTCAGAAACTCACAGGGGCAGTTCTGCCTTGTTCTGTAGGGTCACCATGAGTCAGAATCAACTCTACGCAGTGAGATTTGAGTTTTCGGTAATTGCAGTGATTACGTTTTCTGAATTGGGAGACAGAGCAAAACGTCTGGAATAATATTATTCTCTATGTCCCAAATTGAGGTATAAATGTGTCATATGAGCTGAGGAAGGGATGAAAACATTTTTTTGAAGAAATTGGTAGGATTGGTAAATATAAAAAAAGACTAACAAATGGTATTGGGTTCTGTTAGGAATAATTACATTGAGTTCTTTCTTGTCCTGTTGACCTTGTTTTGGCAAGTGCTAGTTAATGTGTGGTGAAGAGCTGACCAGATAGTTTTATATATTAATCTTTTAGAAGCTACTGAACTACTTGTGAGATTATTGATTTAAATAAACAGCAATATTTTAATTACAGGGTGTAAGATTGCCTCCCAAACTGAAACAGAATGAAGTAACTAGTATCCAGCCTTCTTCCAAAAGGGCCAGGTATGCATCATCAGCTTACTTTTTTACAGGTTTTTCTCTTTCATAAGTCTGTTTTAGACACTGGCACCAGTATAGGAAAGTTTCTGGATAATAAAACAGTACTTAGCATTTGAAAGGATTTACTTTTTGTTTGCTTCACAACTTTATTGTGATTATATCACATTTTATTGCAAGAGACTTGGTGAATGATGACAGGCCATTGCCTTTTTTTTCTTTTCCCAAAAAACAGAAACAGTTTCTTGAAGTAGAATCTTGGCATACAGCTCCCAGTATATACCACATACACTGCTGTGATTAAGATGGTAGGAGCAGTATGGTACCCCAAGCTTTGAGAAACCCTGAGGAACCCCAGGTCTGTCTCTGCAGGAAACTTTGAATATCACTAATGTAGGTGTGCTGAATGAACAAGTGCAGGACAAGGTCTCTTAGGTGTGCTTTGTTCACCAGTGTGGTGAGGAGGAC